AGCTTAACTTCTGTTTGGCCTGTCAGTAATAAAACAAGAGCGTCATATTTAATTTATTACAAATGAGGCAGTTTTTCCTACTTTACAAATAATTTAAAAAGAAATAGAAGCCCTTCATTGTCCACAAGTCAGTAGTGTGACTTATTAGATGATTTATTTTTTTTTAGCCCTTGCAGCTCAGTTCTGGTTGTCAGCAGGGTGGTGTCCCGTCGCTGGGTGTAGCTCCCCAAGACAATGTTTGGACTATGACCACGCATACAAACATGCTCGGCAGTGGACTGAAGTCTCCCCTCCCGTGAGCGTTTCCTGTGTGTGTGTGTATGCTCGTATTACTCACACTGCGAGGACATAAACTGTTCAAACAGTCACATTACAGGGACACACCTTCCTTTTGGTGACAAAAAAGCACATCGTCACAATGCAAATTCTATGAAGATTTGGTTTATGGTTAAAAGGTTATGGGATCAGGGGTAGAGTTAAGCTAGCAGTACTTATGGTTGGGGTTGGGTTAAGTCACTAAAACATGAATTTAAGTCAATGTAATGTCCTCTGAAGTGACTGAAACACAGCTGTGTGTGTGTGAGTGCTACACAGTCTGAACCTTTAGGGAGCAAATGACACACAGTACCAGGCACTCACTCACAATGAACTATTATTAGAGCCTGCAGCCACACAAAAAAATGGAGATCTCTGCTGAGGTTAGATAGAGAGATACACAAAGCTCACAATAGCTGAGACAAAAGCTACCTTTGGCTTTGTCTGACCACACTGTTGTCACCATATTGCCATCAGTCATCCAGGCCAAACAGCAAAACAACATAAATTATAAACAGAGGCCAACTGCAGTTTATTTATTGCTTTGGGAGTATCTTGTCTCATTCTGTGAATATGTGAGTTCAGGACCTGTTCTGCAGCCTCTTTACCCTGATTTTGGTCTCTCAGCATGATTTTTACCAGCTGCTTCAAAAGCAGGATGTGCAGCTATATTTGGGAAATGTTAAATGTGTTTTTTGAAGCTTCTTTTGTGAAGCTCACTCAATTGAAAAGTAACATATCAGCATTTGGACTCGATTATTGATGTCAAGGCACTTACCGGAGAAATCAGGAGCCGAGTGTGCAGCGGGCAGCTTCAGGGTCAGGAGGAGAGGCAGGAAATAAAAAGACGGGCAGAAACTCCATGGGACTGTCATTGTGCATATCCCGCTACAGACCCCCGGGGTTTGGTCCTGACGGGTTTGTTGTGCGGTTGACCGCCAGGGAGAGAGCGGTCAGTAGGTCAATGATGCCATTGTGCTTATAAGAAACAGCCTCCCACATTTAGCAATAAAAAAAAAAATCACAGCTGACTGCATTAAACAGAGCTGCAATGTGCTGGTGGAGCTCAAGCTGATAGTTTCACATGCACATTTAAACTGTATGTATTTAATGTGCATTTGGTAGACATTCAGAGTGTTGAAGCATTTTGGTCACAGACAAAAATGTGTTTATATCTGAAAGACATCATAACTCTCTTTTGGATCAGTTACCACAACCTGTGAATGGAATGAAAAAGAGAAAATAATTTCACACTTATTGGCTTTGTTTCCAAGGGTTAAATAAGAAGATAGATGCCTCTCTGATGCCTGTACATATAGAGGAGGTGATAATTTATCAGAAAGAAACAGCTAGCCTGGCTCTGACCCAAGCTAAAAATATGCCAGCATTTCTAAAACATCTTGTACCTTGTGTGTGTGTTTTGTTTTTTGTTTTGTTTTTTTTATCTGTAAACGAACAAATGTAAAAGCATTTTGTGGTTAAACATCCATTCAGCATATCTGACTGCAGTCCAAGATGCCTGATAATACAGTTGTTAGCACAGTTTTTGGTAAAGGCCTCTGCGTGAACATGATGCCATCACTCTTCGTCATCTACCGTGCATCAGCTGTTTACATCCACACTGTTGTTCACAGACACAGAGTCTTATTCCTGAAGGAGGTGGGGCATCTGCAGACACTGACAGCCTGTTTAGAACAGGACTAAAACCAGGCCTTACACAGTTTTGGTAAAACCATCTTGGCACTATTTTGAGCTAAAATAAATTGAAGAATGCATTCTTGGAGCATGTGATGCTTTTGTTCATTTGTCAAAAGGGGCATATTGTGGGACCCTTAGCAACAAATTGCCATCTGTGAATTTAAAAGGAAAAAAGAAGAGGTCTTGATAAGTATAAAATGCGACTTTTATCTAGGCTAGCCTTTTCCAGCTACTCTGCTAAACTTCATTCAGTGCATAGCGCACACAGACATGAGAGCGATATTAAAATTACTCAATTTAAAGAATGGAGCAAGTAAACAATCCCAAATTTCCCCAAATGTTGACCCTTTTTTTCCTGTAAGTCTGACAAAGGTCTATGATCAATACATTGCTTTTTCCATGAAGGAGGTACTCTGAATCCATTTGAGAGCAGCAGAGTGTTTTATTTGCAGGATAACGTCTTGACCTTTTCTCTGCCTCTGTGTGTTTGTAATGGCAAAATCAAGTGTCTTTCTCTTGAACTCTGTTGTCAACAGTGAGGGTCCTGTTTATTGAGATAAGGCACTTTTTTCCAGGAGGTCACTTCCAGCTGCTGTGAGTGTCCACTGGAGATATGCGTGCTTCTCTCCATGAGATAGGGCTTTCCTATCTTTTTGTCTGGGGAAAGGGAAGTGAAAGATCATTTCCAGAACTGCCAGGTTATTTCCAGGAATACTCCGGAAACCTCTGCTGGTGAGTAGCTACAGAGCACAGTGGATTACAGCATACTATAAAAGCAATGGTTTTCACTTTAATTTCCCGTTTAAACATCCCCTCTTTCTCAACTCTGTGTGACGGCTGTTGTCATAACAACCAAACATGACCACATAATACACATGTAGTCATTAGTCAGTGCTGAGGTCAGGACATTATCAATGATTGCAGCCACTTGTGAAGTTTAATCAAAAAGAATTTCTGACTCCAGTCATTTATCACGTAAGTTCCAATCGACAGAAGAGTACTCCCACGAACACTGCAGTAAAATTCCATTTACCTCCCATTGGAAGTATGAATAAAGTCATTAAGCATTCCCTACATGTGTCTCCTCTGGATGTCTTGGAGGAAGGGTTGTACCACCGTGTGGAAAAGGAGATCAGGTTTCATATAGTTGGAAAATCTCAGGCCTTGACCTCCCTGACTGAGTAGACATTTAAAAAGAAATGGGAGGAAGCTTTTTTTATTATTTTTTTCACAACTTTCTCCATCTCAGTAATATTTCCTGTGATGGTTGAGTGTTTTTCATGAAGTTTCCTGGATTTGTTTTTAATTTCTATGAGATGGGTTTGTTTTTCCTCACTCCCTCGCTGTGATGTAAATTCCCCAAATCCTCTCAGGCAGATAAGTTAGACAAGTGCATGGCACAGAGCTGTCTCCTTCTGCATGTTTTCGTTTTAAATTCTTTTTCATCCATTTCATAATCATGCCTGTGCTGCTGGTCTTATTTCTTTAGGGAAGTCTACACCGCAGCACGGGGATTTTGTCATGAGATTTCCCCTCCGCTGTTTATTGTAAGTGATACCACTTTACAAGAAACACCAGCAGTGACTGAGCTCTTAGTCCCTGGGGGATTTGGTCATAATGTGAAAGCTACACTCACTGTCTAATTCATTTATTTATATATCTACCAAAGCAACTTTCCTAATCATTGCCAATTACCATTTATGAAAAATGTTTTATTAGGTGGAAAAACTATCAAATACACACGTAGTTTAATACTCCTTACTTTATGAACACCACAACTCACGCAAAGCACGTCAGCTATCAAAACTAACTCCTTTCTTCTTGGGGGATCCGAGGGGATTCCTGCCATCATGACGCAACACATTACGAGAAACGCCCCCGAAATATCTCCCTAAATATTACATCATTGTTTTAAAGAATGGGGCAAAACTAACCGGACTACTAACTAACTAACAGTAGGTACAGTTGAGTAACACTGTATTTTTAGTAAAATATGCACTACAGTCAGCGGTTGTCGGGGTAAAGTGCTTTTCAGATGGTATTGGGAATATATATTTTGTGGTTGAATTGGTATTACTGATGCTGTGACCTTAAGGGAGTATTTTAATGTTTAAACCCTAAATCTGACCATTTCAAAGTCAAAATTTAGATAAAATTCACTGCCATTCTCTACTTACACAGTGCTCAAAGTACAAGAAACTGAAAATCCAGTAAAGATGTCCAGAAAAGACCAGGAGGATCTGAAATGGAATAAAATATTTGTAATTATGTTTTCATTGGTGTATAATCACCTGAAATGAGAATCATTATGTTTTTGCTGTCTTACCATGAGTAATATCTACACACAGAGCCAAAAGGTTCCAGACCCTACAAACCACCTACACAACAGTCCCCCAACCCCGACACTCACCTTTACCCCGCTACAGAACACACCCACGGATGTGCTGCGCCTGCATCTGGATGTACTTGGAGGAAGTGGGCAGTAGCCGTGAAAGGACAAAGCAAACACTGACTCAAGAAAGGGTCTTTCACTTTTTTTGATTTTAGCAGCCACCATAGTTTCTCCTACACGCTTCTAAGGGGAGGGTGAGGTGATGCCACTAAACTCTACACACTGCTTCTTTAAGTGGAGAGCAGAGAGTCCACAGTTGTGCTCAGTAAGGCTGGATTTGGTTACACAAGAGCTCAAAATGATAACACTCACATGATTTTCAGCCAACAGAGTGTTTACAGTGTTCACCACTTTAATTTAAATCCCTCTCCTGTCATTGACTAAACCCCGAAAAACTCAACTCTGTGCATCACAGTTACATATTTAGTTCTTTCCATGGAAACAGTCCCGTTCTGACTTAAACTGACTCAGATGCAGCTTTATCTTTACATCTTCCTCTCGAATGTGCAGATCTATGAAGTCTCTGCCTCTTTCTCCTCACACCCCACACCACCTACTCGCTGCAGCTCAAGCACACCAGCTCATCTACAACTCTGCTCAAACACTGTCAAAGTATTGTACGCAACACAATGGCAAGTTGTAATTTTGGAGTAATTCAGTCATAAATGTTTGAGCCAGAAACCGATTTTGAAGAAGAATAACGATACAGAAAGTCCCACCCTGTAAGATGACAGGATTGGTTTGAAATCTGAGTCTGTTTTCCTGAGAATGCCACTGGTACGCTACAGTTTTAAGGGGAAATTTTCAACCATGGTGTTTACTTTCCATTTTACTCATAATATGTCATCTAGCATACAAAAAACACCATATGGACACAACAACAAGGTAAAAACCTTGATCACATGTTAGTATGCCAGTTTAGCACAACACACACCAAGTACTGCTGAGATGGATGGAATGCCATACACTACATTATATGGAATGACATTACAACTCAAAAAGTCATTAAAATTGCACATTTATGCTGTTTAATAGTTGATTATGCTATAGAACTAGAAATCAAAATTAGATGCATTATAATCTGCAAAGTAAACTAGTTATAGTTCTCAAATAAATGTGGCAGTAAAGTAAAATATTTATTTCTGAGACATAAAGGAGCAGAATAAAGTAGAAATCCTCATGAAAAAGAAAAATACTTGAATGAATCCTTAATCACCCCTTATAAACTCCATCTACTACTCTTTCATTCAGATATACATACATTTGTTCTTCTTTAAAAACCTCTAAAACATCTTGTTAAGGTATTCCTGACACTCCTGGAACCAAAACACACATGCTGTCCAACACATATGAGACTTTTCTGCCACAAAATTACATTACTGTCTCCAGGTTTCCCTCAGCACTCAGTATGACGTGCAGCCTTTTATCTTCCATATCTGTTGGAATGTGAGCAGCTCCAGTGAATTGTCTGAATTTATGTGTTTTGAGTCACTGCGTTATCAGTTCCTGCGTATTGCAATATGCAGAAGGACCTATTTTAAGCTCTCTCCTCATAGAGTTTGACTTTGAGTATATAAGCGTGTGCACCCCGCCCATTTCTCTGGATCCTCCCTCTCCCCTGACTGGTGAAGTATGTTCAGAGCGATAGCCTCCAAGGAGCCCTCAGACAAACACAAGCAGCCGTGAGGTGTTAGACTTTCCTCAGATACCCACAGCAGCATAACCGCACTTGAAACCAGAGCAGCACTACTTCAAGGACACTATTACCAGCTTAGTGTCTACTCATCTGTGGATTTTTGGGAGCACCAAACCAGTGACTGAAGGAGAAGCTTTGCCTGGAGCCAGTGCTTGGACTTCAAAAAAGTAAACAAAACAGTTTTGGGACAAGATGGCACTTCGGCAGAACTCAGACAAGGAGCCAAGCATTGAGCTGTTCATAAAGGTCAGTCTATTTCTTCAGTTTCTCAACTAGTTTTAACTTCAAAACCACATGGTGTTAAAAAAAATATATTATATGTGAAATTTCTGCTCATTTTATTATTTTATATAATCATATGTCAACAAAACAAAACATAAATTTCATATCACCTCCTTCTGAGGATAAAATAGAGGCAAAAAAAAACCCATCACACGAAGGTTTTCTGCTCACTGATGAGTCCTCAGCTATGCCAGAAATGTACAAATGTTGCCATAAGAGCAGCATCAATCAGAGGACAACTCTACTTTTGACTGGTGCCGTCTCCAGATACCACCAGCTCCAGATGTTGAGGTGTTTGTATCCCCACTGAGGGTCACAGCAGGCTGTTATCAGTGAACTCTGTCCAGAGACAGTCGGCCCACCTTATCATCGCACACCCAGAAGGAGCGAGCAGCGTGGAGAGCGTCTGGCCTCGAGCCTCAACTAGGCACACCCACTTTACTGACGCACATGCTCACATATAGTCAGGTCACATAAATGCACTTTTCTCATACATACAGCTTTTGTTTTTTTTTTAGTACTGTTCCTGTACGTGAAAGTTTAATCTGAGGGCAGCAGTGTAGTTACAGTGTTTCCCGATATATGAAACAAGGTGAAGTGAAAAGCAAAACAAAACAGTGCATTATGTATCTTTATGAATGACATGGTAAACTTTTCTTACTTTTTTTCTTAATCTCTTAATTTCTTCACTCACTGTTTGTTTTTATTGTTAGCATTTGTCACTTTTTGGTGCGTTTTTCACAGGATTTTTCCTTGGGGATCAACAGAGGATTTCTTTTCTTTTCTTTTCTTTTCTTTTCTTTTCTTTTCTATTCAGGCACTTTAAGGAACAGTTTGACCGGTTGTGAAGTACAATTTTCCATTCCCTTATCGAGAGTTAGCGGAGAACATCGCTCTCATATCTGTGTTGTAGATGTGAAGGTGGAGCCAGCAACTGGTTAGCTTAGCTTAGCATAAAGGCTACAAACAGCATTGCATGCCATAAGTTAAGAAAACTATGATAAGAGCAACTCTAAAGCTCACTCATTAACAATATATACATATATCATTTTGTTTTGTTTTTTTAAATAACTACAAGAACCGAAGTATCGAATGACTATTTGTCATTTCATGGATGTGCTACTTTGGCAAAACTCCAGAAAATCACTGCTCCGAAAAAAGAAATAGTTCGACACATAAAGCCCCATAAAACAACAACCGGTCTTCTATGTGATTCAGTCTTACTACAGAGCTTTAAAGATGCTATATTTTGTAACCTTTTGACAAAGACAGACTACTTGTTCCCCCTAATTCATATTTACTGTACATACAAGAGACTAGAGTTAGTTCCCTTATCTCAGTCTGGGTGGGAAACAACAATAATTTACAAAAATGTCACGCACTTACTTTTACGTTAACGTGCTGTCGGCATGAGGGACTTTAACCAGACTGTGTTGTGGTGGTTAAAATAGCAGAAGCAGCTACTTTCCACTACAGCACAATGCCTGCATTTCCCCTCCATGGAGGAAACTGCCTTTAAATATCCCACGTACACTTTTCACCTCCAAAATGGCTTTCTAATCAGCAGAAGAGATGCAGTTCATGAGTTAAAATGGACCGTTTGTGACTCATGTTGTCATATATTTCATTTTGATGTCTTGTGTTTTTCAGGCTGGGCATGATGGCGAGAACGTGGGGAACTGCCCTTTCTGCCAGAGGCTCTTCATGGTGCTGTGGCTGAAAGGCGTCAAGTTCACAGTGACCACTGTTGATATGAGGAAGTAAGCACCCCTCCACTCGCAAAAACACTTCCTGAGCATCTGGTCGTGGGGACTTTCACACAGAGCCCTATTAAGAAGCAAACGAAAGAGAAATTGAGAGATTTTTTTCAGTAATCCAAACCATTTCTCAGTTGTCAGTAGGCGTGTTGCTCACTCTGTCTTGCAAAAGTTCAGAGGGAGGTGCCCGTAAAGCCAAACCGTACAAAGAGCTCTGTGTCACTTTAAAACAAGCACCTTCTTTAATTGAGGTTTTATTACGTGCATTTCTCAGGGTTATTACTGACAAGCAAATAAGATCAGGAAGCTTTGAAAGGATGCTGATAATTGAGTGATTCAGAACACACACACACACCAGGCCTTTTAACCAGGCGACCACTCCCAGCGCTGTGTATTTTTATGACTAAACCAACACCCGGAGTTGAAATCATTAATCCAGAGTGCCACATTTGATCCTGACAGTCCCGATAACTAACACGCGCTCTGTTTTGGCATGTTTGATAGCAGCCCGATTGCAGAGTGGAATAGATAGTAGTCACATTCTCTAACTTCATGCCTTCCTTCCTCTCCATCTTTCTGCGTCCTCTCCAGGAAGCCAGCCGAGCTCAAAGACCTGGCCCCTGGGACCAACCCTCCTTTCCTCCTCTACAACGGCACCCTCAAGACAGACTTCATCAAAATAGAGGAGTTTCTTGAACAAACGCTGGCTCCTCCCAGGTATTGTTGCGCTTTATCATTCCACAAATAGCAGTCATGTGTGATTTTGATGATGGCTCATTCTCTTTGAACAAGTGTAAACCCAGACTTCTCCTTTCTTCTCTCCCCTGCAGGTATCCTCATCTCAGCCCGCTAAACAAAGAGTCCTTTGACGTGGGTGCTGACATTTTTGCAAAGTTCTCTGCTTTCATCAAGAACAGCCCAAATAACTCGTGTAAGTTTGGCTCTTGTGATTTGTTGAACATGTAGCCGTGCATGTGGATGTGACCTAAAAATAAAAATGGTGCTGCACTTGAGCACAATGTTGAGGTTCCTGTACTTTACTTTAAATATATTTATAGTTTATACAATATAGTTGTGTTTATCTGACAGCTATGGCTACATTGTAGGTGACGATTATATCCACAAAATATGTGATCCTCCAAAATATGTTGTTTTGTTGGAGATTAAGCTGCAGAATATAAAACTGATATAGAAAAACACAGCAGCAAATATATTTTTTGTTAATCCACAGATCAATTTTTGAGATATTGGCCTTTGTTGCTCCCATAAAACCTCTTTAGTCTTTCAGACTAGTGCAAAGAGAACAGCCAAATTATACATTTAAGTGTTTATGTTATGAAAGTTTGTGTATTTAATTACTGAACATTGAATTAGATATTTTCAGTTTAAAAAAACTGTCTTAATGTAAGTGATCAACTGGGCCAGTTTTACGTGTGGTGATGTTTATTAAAGATTTTACCTATCAGCATAACAAAATCTAGAATTTACAATGCATATGTTGAAAGTCTGTTTTCTCAAAGTATTTTTTTGCTCATAAAAATATAGAAAACTCAGATTTTTTTCCTTGGCTGTTGACATATTTTCTGAGGGGATAAAAAGAGATAGAATAGAATAGAATAGAATAGAATAGAATAGAATAGAATAGAATAGAATAGATTAGATTAGATTAGATTAGATTAGATTAGATTAGAATAAAATAGAATATCCTTTATTAGTCCCACAAGGGGAAATCTGCAATGTTACAGCAGCATAGTTACAGTAAGAAAAACAATAAAACACAGCTATAAATTAAAGAGGTGTATACACTGTATATACAATATAAGTAAGAAAAACAGAAGAACACAAGGATACTAAGAACACAAATGTAATAATATTTACATGAATGAATTGCACTTGAGTTTTTTGCATTAGGTAGATTATATGCAATAATTTGCATAATTAAACAAAATTTCAGTGAGGGATTATTCTTCTGCACAATGGGTATTCTTATTTGACAAAAACGGTTCCTTGCATTATTATCTACATATTATTGGATTATTATTAGTGATGCATTTATGTGCTTCATGTTGTGACTGGTGGAGATTAAACTGATTTTCACCAACAATATATTCTGTTTGTTAAACTCGTGCAAACCATTGTATTTCATAAGCCTTTCATAGGCTATCATCAAGTGAGATCATCTACAAAGTAACAAGTGACTGCATAAGTTAAATTAATGTAGGTGTTACAAGTACAAGATGAAGAAAATGAGTTCACGCATTAAGCAGCACAAAAAAAAGAAGCACATATATAACGTACAAGTTGTAATAATACACTCTGGGCATTTACTGATATAGGTTGTGTTTCTGACTCTTCAGTCCAACAGAAAAATCTGCTGCGGGAGTTTAAACGCCTGGACATCTACCTGAACTCCCCCCTCCCCGAGGAGATCGACCACAACTCCACAGAAACCATCACTGTGTCCAAGAGGAAGTTTCTGGACGGTGATCGCCTCACCTTAGCTGACTGCAACCTGCTGCCCAAACTGCACGTTATCAGGGTGAGACAGTCTTCTTACTGATGCACAAAACCTAGAAAACAAGCGCATGTGGTTATTTAGAGGTAGAAAAGAAGAAAAATACATGTAACACCTGATCATCTAAACTGGATTAGACGGCAGATGAGTCTCTGTGTGCAAAATAACACCACTGAGGACAGAAATGCATGGCCTGAATGATAGACAGATCTACTGTCGGATTATATAAATATATGATTATCTAGCAGTGTTGCAAAATACTAAGATCTAAGAACTCAAATACTTTGAGGTGCTTTCTGGATTTCAGATAGAAATACTCTGTGGCCACATACACAGCTAATTTAATAGTTACTTCTCACATCAATATTTTACATACAAAAATGTTGAACTTAGAAAATGCAATCTATTCTGAAGAATTAAATCAGTGGTTTTCAACCCTTTTGACTTTTTTGAGTTGCTCAAATTTCCCCTAAAGAGAGATTTCACCTCTAATTTTTCTGTTGGTTTCATTTAAATAAATGTTCAAGGATCAAAGAGCTGACGTTTCCCAATATTTTTCAAAAAAACTAGAAAAATTCATTTAGTCTGTTATTTCTTCTTTTCCATATCAATAAAACCTCACAGATTTATCTTGTGACTCTTTGGAGAAGCCCAACACCTCAATCACTGGACTTCACTGCTGAACTGTACAGAAAATATAACACAGAAATGAATACAAGCTGCACTCCAGTCAGCTAAACCAGTTAGCTGCTGCTTACACAGTGATGTATCCAGATTAACAATGTAATAATGTGATATAAAAAGGAAACTATCAGTCACAGGGGCAATTTTCTGTAAAATAAATACCTTTGCGTTTGATACTTTTTGTACAATTTACTGAAAGTGCTTACATTAATAACTTGCAGGAGCATTTTTGCAGTTTGAATTTTTAGCGCTATACTTTCTGCCACTATGTAAAGAAGAAATATTGAAACTGTCAGTAAAATGTTATTTATATGACAGCTGTAGTTACTATTTCGACAACAGATCAGGATTTTAGAGGCGGTAATTAGCATAAAATATTATTCCTTGCTGCAAAGTACATAAAACAGTGTAATATCAGGCAACAGTATGCGTTTTTATTGGCATTTAATTTTGGAACTTTTGACTCCAATTTCTAGCAGTGAGACTCACACACTGTAGATGCAGAGTTCCTTTTTATCTGGAGCACAAGAAAAGTACATTGTTGTGTTTGTGCTTTTTAACTAAATGATCTGAGTGTCTTCTACCTTTGGTCTTTATCGGTACACTGAGTATACCGACTCAGAATGCCTAATTTTGATCTTCCTCTCTGTTTATATCAGGTTGCTGCCAAGAAATACTGCGACTTCGACATTCCCGCCGAGTTCACAGGCGTGTGGAGATACCTTCAAAATGCCTACGAGAGAGAGGAGTTCAAACAGACGTGTCCGGCCGACATTGAAATCGAGAAGGCTTACTTCAGCGTGGCCAACAAGAGATAATACATTTTTCGTTCCCTGCAGCTAATGTCCGATTTTTTACTGTCAGTTTAATCGTGCGTGGAGAGATGGTGATCTATAGAGGCCGCTACAACCTACAACAATAAACCACGGCAGTGAATCAGACACTATTACACTGTAAAGGTGGAGTTTGCCATTCTAATTTGATACACTTTTTGTTTTTTGTCAAATTCAATGAACATCTGTCCATTTTGTGTGTGTGCTGAAAAGAATGTGGTGCTTATACACGGTCATGGCTCTGTAGATTTCTGAAGAATCGTAGACTCCGCCTTTAAAAATCATGAGCTGGTGTTGCAGTAAAACTGTATGTGCTGAAGTCAAATGTTCTGTTGGTTGTACATACTGACTGTTTATCCATAGTCACTCACAGACAACTAAAGGCCAAATGTGCAATTAACTGTTGATTATTATTTAGCAGAGTTGTTGTTTATAGTGTAAATACAGATATTTTTTCTCTTCTTTTTGCAATCTAAACACCTACATTATAACATATATGATTGTGTTAGTAGTAGCAGCAGCTGCAGAAACAGTTCATTTTTATGCAGAAGACACGCCTGTATTTTACTCTGTACAAATGAGGTTTGATAGGTTGAAATTTTCTCACTGACACACTAATAAAAATACTACAGTCTTGATTTCAATGTGATTTCATTGTCCTTTCTTTGCTTTGGCACAGTAAAAACATCTTTACCTTCAAGGCATCACAACTTAAACCAGGTCACACAGATGGCATTTCTCATATTCAAGTTTATTTTCAGCCACAAAAAAGACCATTTTACAGCTTCAAAAATATATCTTCTGTTCAGCCAGTATAGACGATAAATAAACAGTCTGATGGGAAACAAAAATGACGATGGAGAGTGGGAGTGTTTCCAACCCGGCCGAGCTGAAATCACGCCAAACGTCCGGCCGCTGTGCTCTAGTTGGTCACACAGTATTTCCAGAAACATGCTGTCAAGACACCAGAGGAAGGAAAGTTAAATACTTTTTGCAATGAAATCCTCTAAACTGTGACGCTTGATGTTTCTTTCTTGAACAGTCTCTGTACTGTAGTTCTGTTTATTACTGTCAAAACAGCAGCTATTGTGTTTCTGTTGTTCTTGTCTGGAAGATGAATCCTTCTTCTGTCGCTCAGTTTATCTTGTTGTGTGGTTGTGCCGCAACCTATTTAGCATTTATAATCAGTATATCGGCATTTAATAAACACAGCATGTTGTCGTTAATAGATGTGTGTTTGTTAATGTATTCAGCAGCAACTATGAAATGAAGAAAACTGACATATAGACATGAAAAGAATGGCGATATATGAAAACACTGCTGCAATAATATAAAATAGGTTGCTACAGATGCACAAATGTGCACATATTTCAACTGCATTACAGTGTCATAAACCAGTTATTAAATATTCATGTATTTTAATAAATGTTAAATCAGGGGATAAAATTCAATCTGTCAAATCTTCAAAGAGTTATTTTATTAAGATCTTAAACTAAGGCAGTATTTTGTCCTTCTGTGTTTTCTGTCTCCATAAGAAAAACACCAGCATCAGTAACAACACTTCTTCCAGAGCAGAATATTCTCATTGCCACCTGCTCAGGTTTACGTCATCTGTCCTACTTCTAGATCGTACAATCCTTGGTCAAACATTCTTCTAATTAGGTAATTCTATTATAGTAACAGGAGCTCAGATATCGTGTCAGGTATTGTTGAGTGATCGAAACACTTGAGCAGGTGTGGTGTGTGTTTAATAGAAAATAATCTGCTTGACTGACCTCTTTTGTTCGTTTTTGGCAGGCTCTGCTCTGATCGGACAAAACCCTGGGAGCGAAGCTTGTCGGCTGCAGCCAGCTTCAGAACGACATCCCTGAAGTCCTCAACCTTAAAGGAAGCAACATGATGAAAGTAGGTGTAGATTGCACACTCATCTTTGGTGTCACTTTTGCTTTTGCTTTCGGGTGAGTTTAAGGTAAATGTAGGAATATTGTCCCCAAATGTTCCTGCAAATGTTCCCCTGATCTTAAAGCTAAAGGAGATGCATGTCCAGTTAATGAACTGGCCTTTCACTGTCATGGCACATTTGCCTTCTTATTATCCCAGTCATTTCTGCAATTTTTTTAAACATGTTTTTTTTGTAATATATCACGTACAAACTAAATCTATTTATATTTTTGAGTGATCAAAGATGCATTGTCGGCCTTACCAGGTTTGCATATTTATCCTGTTGTGCTGAATCTTTTTCCCCTGAAAAAAATATTGTAATAAAGAGTTCAAACATTGTTGCTTTCATCGTCATATTTAACTATTTTGCCTTTGCACTTCAAATAGTTCTTGTAGTTTTTACCTTTATTCCAGGAGTCCCTCCCTCCATTGTGTAGCATCAGCAGAGGATACAGGTTATTCACTTCTCTCTGCTCCCCCTCTGCAGTGTTGGCTCCATCCTCCACCTCTGACACTAATTTCTGAATGAAATCTGTTGAGATGAAACAATTTTCTTTTGATTTTTGGGGATTTTGGATAACGTCTTTATGAATAAATATAAGCAGAATTTGGCTGAGTTATTGAATGCTGCCAAACTGATGTGCAGAGGAAATATCCCAGCGTTGCTCATGACAAAAGTTCCAATTTCATATAAAACAATCCACAATTTTGAATAAAATTGAAGAAATGTGCCCCAAAAAACAGGAAAACAGGCTTCCTGGTCTTACCTGACTGTGGCTCCAGGTTGGCCTCGGGGTACAGGGGCAGAGCATGTGTCCATGTTGTCGAACAAATCACAGCTACGAGGTAAAGCAGAGCTACAGAAAGCATGATGTCTCGACGTTCAGTTGGCCAAATCCGGACTATTCCTTGACTCGACCGAGAACTTCACTTATATATCCCCAGCGGCCATCCATCACAATCTGATCAATACATTATCATCACACCCAGTCTCCTTCTTAATGGTTTTGACGCGATGGATCAGGCGTCATAGACACAATTTAGGGGACCCTGTCAATTCAGCCGAGGCCTATCTCTGCTTGTACAGAGCGCCCAAACAAATGTTTACTCTGCAGCAGTAATCAGTGGCTGTCCATGGGAGCTCTGATGGTTTGTGTTTGACACCATTTCTTAGTGATGGGCTGCTCAGATGTGTCATTGCTCATGTCTGAGATCACAGGTACACAGGGCTGCAGGTGTGTCACTGCGGGTTTCTGCATCATCGCCCGGTGAATGACAACCCCCATGGCATTCATTTTGATTGTAGGTCACAGCATGTTGAACATGTCTACAACTTGTTAGTCAATAATTACAAAAAAAAGCACATGCGATGCTCTTGTTCTGCGCTTTTTGACAACCTTTCAATTTCTAATATTTTCATTAGGCTTTGCCGCTCACCACTAACTAAATCCAAGTAAAGGCACTGTGTAAAATTCTGCTTCAAGAATTTTTTTTAATTTTGTAAGATGCTGAAGTAATGTGTGTAGTAAAACGTATTGGGCTGAAAGTATGAAAAAAAAGGATTCTAAAGAAATTAAGGACACCTAAAAAAAAAAAAAAGAAGAACAACATCATGTAGGATTTTAAAAAAAAAATGGAAGCAACAAGAATAAGATCAAATCATACTGACATGTGTGGATTAGGACTGAGTCATTATAAATGTGCTCTGTTAGGCCAAAAAAAGAAATAGAATGCATTTAAGTGACACGTGTTAGCATGTTAACATTTACTAATGAGCAGCAAACACAAATATATAGTCATTGCTGATGGTAAAGTCCTTAGTTTTGCAGCTAGTGTGTCATAAACAAACAGTGGACAAATAAAAGTGTTGATCCGATTGTCAAGGTCATTTAAATTCATTTATGTCTGGGATCAATATCTGAACAAAACTCCACTGCAATCCGTCCAGTAGCTGTTTTACTAAAAACCACAAACCTTATTATGGCGCTGGAGGATGAATCAGATTATCGGCGAAGTCATTGTACGATTTGTCATTTGAGCAGCGTGGATATTTGTGATAAATATCACGGCAATCCATCTAACAGAAATATTCTATTGTAGATGAAAGCCATGGATCAAATGACATGACACATCTCTAGAACCACTACGAAGGCCAAAAGTAACAAACACATTCAGAAAATTGAAATGTACAAATGTGCAGGACAAAGGAATTACTGAAGCCAGTGTGCCAGACAAAGCCAAGAATATAAAGAGGTCAGATTGTGATTGTCTGAGGAAGCTGGTTCTTAATGCAAAAGGCCAGTCTGTGCTTTTCTCAACATTAAGATAGAACTTTAAAGATAACCTGCAGTTAACTGTGTTTCGAGAGTTTTAGAACAAAAGTAAGTTTAAACTATTAATTCATGACTGATTTCATTGAGGCTTAAAATATGTGGGCATGGTCAAAATAAATGTTTACAAAACTGGAAAAATGATTTAAAAAAAAAAAAAAAAAGAAGTTACACATTTTCAAGTACAAAAAGAGGCTTTGTGCCACAAGGCTTTTTGTCAAACTGAAAGGTCGCTAATGCTCTTTAGACGAGCAGACGAAGCATCAGGTGATTTATTGTCTCCTCGTCTGCTGAGAACAACAACATTTGATGCATCTGGCTGCTGAGCTGTCAATGACAAGACCCAAAGCCGCAGCAGAGCTTAGTTTTAAGGTTAAGCATTTGTAACAGCAGACACATTATATATGTTTAATAGACAACGACATGCAGTCAGAATGTATGTATGATTCATCTGTAGATTGTAGCCGTATAGGAAATTTCAAGTCATTACAACTTCCACTGTTGAAGACGACCTCTGACCTAAAGACAGATTCTGTTGGAAAACATCCAGGTTGGAAAGATCCGTCAAACTCAGCTGAGTGTACACTAGTCATGGAAAAGCATGAGTTATAATTCAAGCCTCTGTTTACACATGAGAGTAAATGTTTGTGGAAAGATTTGAGAAAGTGAGAAAAGAACAGTGGTTAAAGGAAGTAAAATTATCAATGCAGATATATAAAATACTCCAACACTAGTAAAAGCACCACATAGTCAAATGGAAAAATTACTTCAGTGATCAACATATAAGTGTTAATAAAGGTGCAATAATGTCAACAGTAAGCAGCATCCGAGCTGCTGCAGCTGACAGAGATGGAGCTACTGTTAGCTACAGGTAGTTCAGGCAAGTGGTTCCCAGCCAGAGGTCCGGTCCCCTCCAAAGGTCACAAGATCAATTTTAGGAGTCCTCAGATAATTTGGGTAAGGAGGGAAATTTTGCAGCTTAAATTTGCAGGTTTTTTTTGTTTTGTTTTGTTTTTAAAAACATTGGACTAAATCTTTGTTTCTTTGAGCCTCAATCTCCTTAAAAATCTCAATGTCAATTCTACCAAATTAGATTCTAAAAAAAAAAAAAAGATGTAAAACATATGCTATATCTGTTTTAGTCCTAGTTACACCAGACAGCTTCTTTACTGAATGTGCTTCATTATACAACCTGGTCTGGTCCCACTATCAGGTCCTCCAGAGTGGCAAAAATTCACTGCAACATTTATTTTTCAAGGCTCATAAACCAAAAAGAGGTTGGGAAAACAGTGTTTTCTTTCTTTCTTTTTTATTTTTTTTTAAATTAAAATGCAATGTTTTGTTCTGAAAATTAATCTTTAGTTATCATTCAAATAACAGACTAGCAAACATTTTAATGTTTAGGATGTAGACCAGGACGGCAAATAAAATAAAGCCATGTGTTAGAATAGAAATGTGACTAGTCGGTAAATGAAACACAAAATCAAAGAGAGGCCGCAGAAAAACATCTTTGCAGTTCAATCATTTGTACTGTCAGTCTCTATGCCTGCAGGCTGTTTCATGTTTGTTGGTCAAGTCTCTGCCCTGTAATTAAATTTAATTTTGCTCGAGGCATGAAAATTACATTCATAACAATGGTCATTTACGAGGTTGGCAAACATGTTGGCAAATGACTTTATTGTGTCTTCTGACTTCTGAAACCAAACACTGTGATCCGATACGATGTTTTATCTGTTTGTCCTATGAATTATTCAAGCACAGTTCAACCTTTCTTTAGACGTATATTTAACATGCGGTACAATGTATCCTCACTTGTTTCCTGAACACATAGCCCAAGTTAGAGAACACAGCTATGCCAACAGGCTTACAGCAGGCTGTTTCTAAGGAACAACATAAGCAGACAAACATAGACATTGTAGAATCAGCATCAAAAATTCACATTAAAGAACAGTTACGAAACCATATAAATAAATAAAGTCTGTCATTTTCTCAGTTTTAAGATTTATAGGTAAACAACACCACGATTTTCACACAATTTACAGGATTGTTTGTTTACAGGTGACAAAGAGAAAAATGTTTTATTATTTATCAGGATGATAAATGCATATTTCCAAAAGACAAACATACTCATGCATGGAATGCAATCTTTTTTCCACTGACACATATAAAGTGTATTTTTTTCACAAAAACCACAGTCAGAAAGCATATGTCAATCTGCTTACAAGAAGCCGTATTTACCCCTCTTAGAAATGTCCCTATTTATTGCTTTTCAACATTGAATCACTGTCAATTTAATTTGGCTATTTTGACAAGAATTAAAACAACAACAACAAAAAAACAAGACTTAGGAATGTAATGTAATTTGTTTAAAAATATTAAATAAATGAAAGTAAAAGTATTCACTCTTTATTAAGTCAGTATTTAGTCGATGCACCTTTGGCTGCAGTTAGAGCACTGAGCCTGTCTGGATAGATCTCAGCCTGGCACATCTGGACAATGGCATTTTAGCCCATTCCTCTTTGAAAAACTGTCAGGATGCACAGGGACCATAAAGCTCTTTTCAAGTTCAGCCACAAATTCTCAATTGGACTGAAGTCCAGGCTCTGACTGGGCTGCATGAAAACATCCACCTTGTTGTCTTTAAACCATTTTCTCCATTTATTTTACCCTCTGCCTTTACAAACCTTCCTGAACCTGCTGCAGAGACAACCAGCCTGGGTAGTGCTTCACTTAGTCCGGAAGGGGACAGCAGAGCCCTTGGAGGGGCTTTGAGAGGCAGGAACGTAACTATCTGCACTGAACCGTGGAAGAGGAGGCGGAAGCAGTAGAAGAAGAGCCATGCTTATTGTTGGCTGTTAGTTGACTGTCCTGCATGACGCTGGTAAGCAACCAGGAAAAGTGGGACCTGAAAGACTGACAAAGCGGTAGCACCAGCTGGCACGGCAGCATTAACCTAGCTAGGTACAGTAAATACTCTTTATTTGATATGTTTACGTTGCTAGCAGGAGTTCGGTTTAGCCGCCGAGTGTAACATTACGAAGAGAGGACGCTAACTGTTAGCTAACAGCTGGTAGTTACAGCGACTTCTCCTCAAACTGCCCTGGACGACGTTATCAAGTTACCGGAGCTGAAAACTGAGCTGCTGATTAAAATGTCGACACAAAACACTTGAGACTGACTGATATCTGTGATGTTGTATTAAAACTGTAACCGCAGAACGTTTGCCTCGAAGCGCTTTTCGACAACTATCAGATGAACAAGTCGTTGATGTAGACAGAGAAACCAAGAACAGTTCAGTCATGATAAGTGGGACAAACATCTAACATTAAGTGAAGCTCTCCCGTTATTTTTAAGAAAAGTTAGCTTTATTTCATAATATAGAATTAATTGCTTGATAAGACGGATTTTTCTGTGTATTTTGTTCAAAATGTTGTTCAGAGTATTAAAAGCGCCAATCGTCCTTTGTTTGGATGATCCATTAGTCCGTTTCGTCATCTAGCTTTTCACACAAAAATAAATAAATGTGAATAAATGTGATTACTTTTGAACAGCGTGTCAGTCTTCATTGATGGTCCACTCAACGTCTGTTGAGTTGATCACCGATGTTTACTGAGGTTAAAAAGAAGACTCTGGACTGGATCATAATGGCCTTTTATAAGTATACAACCTTTGTGGTAGAGAAAACATTAGCACAGACGTAACTTACAGAATAGTCACATGTGGTGGTTTTATCGATTGACGACAAACTTGATAACTTACTAGTCATCAAAGGTATTTGTCAGGAAAAAAAATCAGTTTATTGACTGCTCACAGTTTTTTCCAGCATAAGAATTTGCTTTGTTTTTTTTTTTGTTTCACATGATTTCAAATGCGTTATCTTTGGATTTTACTCTGCTGGTCACACAAGACAAGCAAGTTGAACCTGGGTTATTATTATAACATATCCTCCAGTAGTAAAAGAATTAGTTAGGGGATTAGGGGATTATTATAAAAACAACAACGATGGTGATAGTATTTCTGTGAATACATAGCATCATAAGTCAGGTAATACAATGTATAGCTTTTTTTAATTGACATTAAAACATAAATACACACACCAACCCACACATATACTTAAATGCTGACATATACTGTAAATCATACAACCCAGATTGAATCAAGTTATGCTAACCTTTTGGTAAAAAGTAGACTTTTTTTTTTTTTTTTTTTTAAATCAAGCATTTCATCATATCTTTGAAGCTCTTTTCCCATCGTGTCTTCATAGAATATGGCCACATCCATCACAATATCTTGAAGCAGCTCCAAATTGCTTTTAGCTTGACCAACAGTACAAAACTCTGTTTACTGTCACAAATGACAAAAAAGTAACAAATCCTCACAATTGATGAGCTGGAAATAGGTTAAGAGATTTTGCATTTTTGCTCAAGAAGTGACTAAAACAATTGCTTGTATAATTTAAATCAAACATTATTAAATCAGATACTTATTATATTTTCAGCTCTAAATACAAAAAGGCCTGATTAGCATTTGTGAATGTAGAATAATGCTTTATCTCTGTTGTCTAGGGTCTGTTGGCAACATGTTGTCTGACGGAGGCTCCTTCATGAAGGGGATGTTCATGGGAGGCCTGTTCTGCTTGGTGCTGTCGTTCCTGAGTAGTTTCAGTCCCAGCACTGAGTCCATGACAGAAGACCACCATCATCATCACGTCAAAGCTGCTAGTAAAGAGGAGCTGAAGCATCTCTCCGACAGTCACACTCAGGAGTTGATCAATCAAGTCCGGGTCTCTTGCATCATCATGGTCCAGCCCAACATCCTTGTTTACTGGGCTACAGCTGTCGACACCTGGGCGAAACACTGTGACAAGGCTGTGTTTTACACCTCAGAGTCCGCCAAGGCGCTCGAGGCAATAGACCTCAATGAAAAAGATGATTGGGCAAGGTTACGTAAAGCTCTGAAGCATGCTTATGATAACGCCGGGGATCTGCGTTGGTTCTTTGTGGCGCGGCCCACCACATTTGCCATCATTGAGAATCTCAAATATCTTGTACTCACAAAGGATCCGAGTGAACCATTCTACCTGGGCAATGCTATGAAGTCAGGGGAGCTTGAGTATGTGGCATTTGAAAGCGGCATTGTCCTAAGCTACGAAGCCCTGAAAAGGCTGGTGAAGGTGTTTGAGGATGAAGAAAAATGTCCAGAAAGAGGACGTGCCCTATGGAAGCTGAGTGAAGACAAGCAGCTTGCCGTGTGTCTCAAATACACAGGTGTGTTTGCGGAGAACGGAGAAGATGCACACGGAAAGGGCCTGTTTAACAGCAAGACTGTTAACAATCTGATATCAGACAGCATGAAGGCAAACCCCACCAATGTAGTGGAGGGCTGCTGCTCCGACATGGCTGTCACATTCAACGGGATGTCACCAAATCAGATGCAGGTTATGATGTTTGGAGTTTACAGACTTCGTCCTTACGGCCACGATTTCCATGACTTGTTAGCATTTTACCCTCCTGAAGGTTCAGACAATGATTAGTTTCATTCCTTCGAGCTGGGTGTGTCCTCTTACATAGTTTTGCTTCTGTGATGGCAAACGTAAAATTGGGGAGGTGGTTTTCTTATGCTGTTTGTAAAACTAGTTCCTGGAAGGGAATACACTTTTATGTAAATTTGTACCTTTTGCACTTGACGCAATCAGCACCACATTCTTTTGCGGTGTACGTTACAGAGCCGATGGGTGTGCCGTCCTTTGAATGCAGGTGAAGCTGGGAAATGTTAATTCATGACATGAATGGATTATTTGCAGGTTTTGGTGATTTATGTATTATTATGTGTCTTAAATGTCTTTTTGTGGTCTTAAACTTGCATTAGAGTTGGGTGATACGAGTTTCTGAAATGATTTAACTGTTCTACATTCTCAGCTCTCATGACCACATGAATAACTTGTATTTTTTGCCGTGAATAAATCACCTCTCCGATTTATAGATTGTACTAGGGCACCAATAATTTGTGTTGACCAAGACATGTCATGGCGCAGCTCTGAAAGAACTATATTTTTTGCCATGTAGTGCTTGGGTATCTCCTTGTCTGAAGAATTGGCCTTCACAGCTAAATGGACGAAATATACCTCATAGTTAAAGGTATTGTGATTTTTTTATGTCACAGTTTAAAAAAAAAAAAGCAGCTCTCAGTGGAAATGTCATTGTTCAACTGGCATTTTAGAAACATGGGAATCAAAGTGAACAGATGAAGTGACTTTTGGATAATGAAAGTAAATAAAATTAATTACTGAATGAACTTATTGTGGGTCTGTGGTGGTGAATTATCCAACAAGTACACTGTGGATGCTACTATGGTTTTTGAAAAGGGGAAATACCCGTGCTGTTCAAAGGAAGGCTTTTTATATTGAACAATTTCTACATAAAACAATGTTTTCTATTCCTGATGAACTGGATGCCATTTCATATCTGACGTTATTAGTAACACTTGTGAGCCTTGTGTTATATATGAAGTTGCTGCTGTCAGATTTTTTATAAAAAGGAATAAATAATTTTAGTTGTCACTGATGAACAAGTACAACTGAAATGTGGTCAGATTCGAACAACGGTCATAAACACCACCCTCACTGATATAAATGGGGTGGGCAAACAATAGTAACGCCTTAGTATAACAGTATCGTTTCAACAAAAACTAAACATTGTAAAGGTACAATTTACAGCAGGGCTCGCAGGTGTATTTTCTAAAGTGACTGTATAAAAAGTCACGGTCTTGGTCTTAAGGCAAACAAAGCCACAGTTTAACAAAGGCCTTGAGCAGAGTAACAGGTTTAACAGCTACAACGTGACACCCTCACCACTTCCTCAGCGTGGTAATGAAAGGGAACACTTAACATAATTTAGATAAATTGGAATCACAGGTACGCCTTGTAACCTGGTATGGTTAGACCTGACTACTTAAGCATACAATGTTGTCATGCCCATTTGATTTTAACCCTTGAAAACAAGCACCACAGGAATGAGATCCAGCAGCAATGAAAAACCAAGAATAGAGTTTAAAGCAAGATCTTTCTTTTATTTGTGCATAAGGATGGTTAAGTCAAAGCGTCCAGCGGGTTACACAGCTAAGTCTGTACGTGTAAACAGTTGACTGGCAGCTCATGCCTCACTGTCAAGAGCTCCACACATTTTCCGAGGTGGTTGGGGCATTGCAGGCGGTGACGTCATCACTTATACGTCTTCATGTGCCACAATCCATCATTCAGATAGTGAACATTCTCGATTCCAATTCCCTTGTTGACTTTTTCTCTGTTTGCAAAACACAAACGGATCAGAAAAACGTTTACGCAACCATGAGGAATTTGCTTTGAATAAAACAGGTCTTACATGCTTTCTGCAGACATCTTCATTACGCCAACACAAAGTGCGTGCTGTTTCCCCTCTGCCATTATGGCCTGCATCCACTTATTAAGGAAAATCCTGTAGGCAAGCTCATTTAAAATGTATAACGAAGGTCCATCCATCCATCCATCCATCCATCCATCCATTATCTATACACCGCTTAATTCTCACTAGGGTCATGGGGGGCTGGAGTCTATCCCAGCTGACTTAGGGCAAAGGCAGGGGACACCCTGGACAGGTCACCAGTCTATCACAGGTCCACACTTAGAGACAGTCAACCAAGCACACTCACATTCACACCTACAGACAATTTAGAATCACCAATTAAGCTCAACATGTTTTTGGACTTGTGGGAGGAAGTCGGAGAACTCGCAGAGAACCCAGCACTGCACAGGGAGAACATGCAAACTCCACACAGAAAGATTCCAGTGCCCCCACCGGGACGTGAACCGGCGACCTTCTTGCTGCGAGGCAACAGTGCTAACCAACTGCATCACCTTGCAGCCCCTACAACGAAGGTGACTTTTTAAAAATTTTTTACAATTGTGAAAACATATAGCGCAGAAATCAAACCGCTCTGGTGTGCAGCATCATTTCTGAAAGGATACGACCACTGTGTCGGCCTCTGCTGGGTACAGTTTAGCGCCTGGTGACGTTAGCCCAGGACACATGATGTTGGCTCCACTCAACACAAATTTAATGGCCCCTTTGTCTACTTGCTGGTGTGGAAGAATGAAAGGATCTATGACAAGGAAAAATAAAATCTTATCAACATGAGGAAATTCAAATACAACCATTAACCAGAAGACATTAGAATATCTCACTTACATTTATGCAACAATCTGAGGGTTGGGTAGAATGGTCCTTCTCTTTGTCTGAAGAAAAGCAGTTCTCCATTCACAGTCAGGATTTCAATGTGTTCATGGCTGGAATAAATAAATAATAATACAAAATCATTGTAAAACTGTAGGAGTGAATCATTCTAGAAGATGGCTCTGCATAGTAGGGCTGCAGCTAACATTTATTTTCCACAATTGATTTCATTATTTTGTCCACAGGTCAAAGATATTCAGTGTATTGTCACAGAGAAGAAAAGAACCCCACAAATATTTGTATTTGAGAAGTTGCAATCAGAGAATTTTGACATATTTTTCTTGAGAAATACTCAAACTGACTCTGAAAGCTAATAATTTAATGCTGACAACTGATTAATCACTGCAGCTCCACGATATATTAAACACTGATAAGAAAAAATGTCTAAGTCATACCATCTCACTATTTTGACGGGGTCCTTTTTTGGCATTATGTGATTGAGCCATGACTCGATGTCTGGAAATTGCTCCAACAGCTGATTTTTGATGCCTTTGATCACTGATGTCTTCAGCTGGATACAGTTGGACACATTTTCCTTCTCATCAAATCTGAAACAGAGGACAAGTAATACGTTAAGAGCTCCAGAAAAAGCTAACAGCTTGTCAGACTATTTCCCAAAATATGGTAAGCATTTAGACAACTACCAGAAAAAAATATATATATATTTTTTAAATCACGGTCGCTCGAGACAGTAGCTAACAGTTCTAAATCCTCTCAATTATAAGCATTTTTAAGAAGAAATGTCGATGCAAATCTCATCACGTTTAAGTGAAAGGTTCATCTTAGGGTAGTTTAATTCTGCTTTTGTAATTCTACTTTGGTGAACCACTGTTATATGTTACTGAACACAATAATTTCACAGTTAACACATTCTGTTAAATGAAATATTCATTGCAATATTACTGATGTACACATTAACTTAAAGGGAATACAGAAGATGTTATGTCTGTTCATTCTTCTGTCTGTGTGATCATTTCAATTACTCATATCTGCCCCTAATAACTATAATAACAAAGGCTCCCTAAAAGTACAATAACTCATGCCTGCTTTCTCATTAACTGAACATTAGCTTCTTATACATTTGAAGACGGGACGGCTAATCAGTTAGCATTAGCCACCTAGCTGTGGCTAGCTAATGTTACAACACCGAAATAATCCACAACGTACTTTTTAAACATCCTCGTTGGTCGCCGTTACCGCGTTCCTCAAGTGTGTCAGAACTCGTCTGAATTTGCCACGCCAGCTCGGTTTTGGTAAACGAGAAAGATCACAAAATACAGTTCTTATATCAAGTAATACTACAGCAATTCCACGCCTGTTTGGCAGTGGAGGGCCAGCGGTGTACAGAGCGCGTCATTTTACGACAGTTGTTTAAGCTACACGGCAGGTCAGGTCATAAAAGCCATCCCGTCACCTCGGTGACGTCTGTAACTATTAAAAAAATCCTTCTTTTTTTTAATATATTGTCAGACAACGCTGTTTTAAAAAAATATATATATTCAAACTACAGATGCACTTTTTTTTTCTTTTTAAAAAAAATCATGTAACAATTGTTTGGTAATGTCAAAATCAGTTTCCACAGTGACAAGGCAGTTTTAAAATGCGCATTGTGACGCTATCCCTATTTCACATTAGTTTTACATTAGGTATTACTGCAATATTTTAGACTCATTATAGAATGACTTTAAACTGCAAAATGTGATTTCTTTTCTTTTCTTTTGCCTCCTCGTGAAGCCCTTTGCAACTTGCATTCTTCTATATATTTATATTATGATAATTAATATTATTCCTTCAGCAAGATGGAAACTGCATTACAAATACCGTTCCTTTATCTACATATAAATAAAACAAGGACGAGTCTCGGTTTCATACCACTGACATATAAAGTAATCTAAATCTCCTGGAGTTATGATGCTGAAAGAATGCGCGGAGAACGTTACTTTGATCAGCCTACCAAAATGGCGCTTGTAGTCTTTGACGTAAATATTTGCACTATATCTACTGGATGTATGATGTTGTATGACGCTTTCTTAACATATTTTTAACACCGTGTTGTTAAAGCTTAATGTCAGTGTATTTCACATTCAACATAACTGTTTTATATTACATAGAATACAATTATACATCTTAAAGTAAACATTCCTTAATGAAATGCTCAGTTTGAATGTCCATACAATGTTTATAGTGCAAACATAATGAAATAAAATTCCATTGTAAATGTCACAAAACAGAGAAATGTGCAGGAATATTTCATACAGAAATGTTAATTTAAAAAAAACAAAAAAAATAAAAACCTAATTTACAATACAGCAAGGAGTAAGTGAGTATGAGACATGATCAATATAGTGCATGGAAATGTAGAACAGTGAATATTTGGATATTGTTAGGATTGTAAGAATGCCTTGTCAATGAAAGTTACAGGAAAGAAAATGCGTGCATGATTTTAGTATTAGTTTCTGTTCACCCTGGATCTATTAAGCTGACATTCCGATCATGTGTTAAAGTAATATAATAGAGGTGATCAATAGGGATAACATTTTACTGTTTGAAAAGCCTGATTTTAACGTCAACGTATTTTTTAAAAATATTTTTGGTCTCACCAAGTGTTTTACTACAGATGTTTGTAAATTCTTGTCAAAAAGCTAAACTATACTGACCACCATTCAAAAAAGCTTCCAGTGGTTCAGTGAATGCTTTTTGTACCACAACAGTGAAGTTAACCCCTGAGTGGGTGGCGCCATCTTGTGGCCCAAGCAGCTACAGCACTGCTGCCATAGTGCCGTCTGGTGGTCAAAAGCGTTACAGCGGCTGTCGTCGGGGTAAAAAAAGAAAACACGCTTGTGCAAAAAGTACTTTTGTACAAAGTACTTCCGGTGGGGTCACCGACTAGCTTTTTATGAGCGAATTTTTCCCCGTGTTTGTCCACGGAGTTTTTACTATCATGTGAGCCCGTTCGCGCCTTTAGCTACATTTCTTCTGTAAATAATCGTCTTTAACGGCCGCTCCGCTCCTCCACGCTCACAAAAC